TTCAACAAAGGAGGTGAGGGCATACAATGGAGAAAAGAAAGTCTTTTCAACAAATGGTGCTGGGAAAACTGGACAGCCACACGTAAAAGAATGAAAATTGACCATTCTTTTTCACCATTCACAAAAATAAACTCAAGATGGATCAAAGACCTAAAGATTAGACCTGAAACCATAAGGCTTCTAGAAGAAAATATAGGCAGTACACTCTTTGACATCAGTATCAAAAGGATCTTCTCAGACAAGGGAAACAATAGAAAGAATAAACAAATGGGACTTCATCAGACTAAAGAGCTTCTTCAAGGCAAGGGAAAACAGGATTGAAACAAAAAAACAACCCACTCATTGGGAAAAAATATTTACAAGTTATGTATCTGACAAAGGGTTAATCTCCATAATATATAATGAACTCACACAGCTCAATAACAAAAAATCAAACCACCCGATCAAAAAATGGGCAGGGGACATGAACAGACATTTCTCAAAAAAAGATATATGGGTGGCCAATAGACACATGAAAAGATGCTCATCATCACTAATCATCAGGGAAATGCAAATCAAAACTACACTAAGATGTCACCTTACACCTGTTAGAATGGCAAAAATAACCAAAACAAAAAGTGACAAATGTTGGAGAAGTTGTGGAGAAAGAGGAACCCTCACACACTGCTGGTGGGAATGCAAACTGGTGCAGCCACTATGGAAAATAGTATGGAGATTTCTCAAAAAATTAAAATAGAAATATCATATGACCCAGCCATCCCACTACTGGGTATTTATCCAAACAACTTGAAATCAGCAATTCCAAAAGTCCCATGCACCCTATGTTCATTGCAGTATTATTTACAATAGCCAAGATGTGGAAGCAACCTAAGTGTCCACCAACTGATGATTGGATAAAGAAAATATGGCATATATACACAATGGAATACTACTCAGCCATAAAAAAAGATAAAATAGTCCCATTCACAACAACATGGATGGACCTTGAGGATATTATGTTAAGTGAAATAAGCCAGATAGAGAAAGACGAACTCTGTATGACTCCACGCATAGGTGGAAGTTAACTATGTAGACAAAGAGAACTGATGGGTGGTTACCAGGGGAAAGGGGGGGTGAGGGGAGGCCACAAAGGGTGAAGTGGTGCACCTACAACATGACTAACAATAATGTACAACTGAAATTTCACGAGGTTGTAAACTATCATAATCTTAATAAAAAGTAAAAAGAAAAAAAAAACAGCACAAGTGTGTTGTCTTACAGTTCTGTGCATCAGAAGTCCAGCAAGGGTCTCCCCGGGCTAAACTCAAGACTTGCAGGCCTGCGCTCCCTCTGGAGGCTCCAGGGAAGAATCTGTTCCATTGCCTTTTCCAGCTTCTAGGGGCCACCTGCCTTCCTCGTGCCCCTTCCTCCACCTTCAAAGTCGGCAACACCCATTCAAGCCCTTGTCATAACACGTCACTCTGACCTCCTTTGCTGCCTCCCTCTTCCACTCTTAAGGGTGCTTGTGATTATACTGTGTCCATATATAATCCAGGATAATCACCCTATCTTAAAGTCAGTTGATTAGCAACTTTGATCTACTAATCTTCAATCCCCCTTTGCTATTAATGTAAATTGTTCATAGATTGTGGGGATTAGGATGTGGGTTTCTTGAGACAGGCGTTATTCTGTCTACTTCATAGAGGTTGCTAGAGAATTCCAACCCAATCTAGCTTAAGCAAACAGGGCTCTTTACTGGAAAGATGCTGAGATATCACAGTACTTTAAGGGCAGCCCAGCCTCGAGAACAGAACACAACCAGGAATCCTCTTTCCCAGTCTCTCATCCATGCTTTGCTATACTTCAGTAGGTCGTGTCTTCCACTGAAGACTGGGTCCCTGTAACCTTGATCGACACGTCAGAATATGGCTGCCAGCAGTTATCGCATTTTTACATCTTACATTCCAGGCATCAAGAAAGGGAGCTTGCTCTCCCCTCCTTTGCTCTCTCTTTTGCTCTCGCTGTCTTCCAGTTCCAAGCTATCAGGGAAGACGCTGCTTGGTCCATCTTGAACCAAGGTCTTATAGCATTTTGGCTAGGGATTCAAAAAGGCTGCTGCACAGAACCACAGAAATGCAGTAGGAGTAAACACGAGATGAGCAGTTCCCAAAAAAGGTGAAAGAGTGGTAATGAGTAAACAAATCAATAGGTATTTACCATAGTGACTAAGTTGAGGCAGACATCTTCCTGGCACTCAAGGACCCTACGGACCAGAGGAAGATACAGGAATACACAAATTTCAACATAATGGGATGACTGTGATTATCAGAGTCTGCACAAAATCCTGTGGGGACTCAGAGTGACCCCTTCCAGCAGCAGAGTTCCATGAACTAAAATGTAAGGTGGAATAGAGGGAGCAGCCCAAGATGAAGCTGGATAGAAAGGGAAGAAACAGATTCTGAAACGTCTTCAACAACAAGCTAAGGTCTTCCTTTCAAAGGAGGTGACCAGCAATAGACCAAACTTGTGTTTTAGAAAGATCACCGCGCACTGGTTAAGCAGGGGGTTGGCAATTGCTAGACAGGGCAAGACTTAGTCCAGAGGCACAAGTTAGGAAGGTCTTACCACAGTCCAGAGGAGAGCCCAGAAGTGGGCTGAAGCATTGGGATGGAGATGGGGAAGGATGGAGTCACCTTCAGAACGGAATTTCAGAAGGCAGAGGAGAGCAGAGCTGATTAAGAAGGGGAAAAGAAATCTTGGCGGTCCCGGGTGGTAACTGTGGCTGGGATCTGGGATCCAGGCTCCAGAGCAGCGATAGACTGCTGACTGGGAAGGAATTGAATCTAAACTGATTTTTGGTGACTTTCAGTCCTCCAAGAGTGTGCTGGTCAAATGTTTAACTACTGGCTGGGGGCAGGGTGCTGGGGATCTGTAGAGTTTACTGATTTCCATGGTGCAAATACTCCTACCACGGCCAATTTCAAACTACCACCATGAAGTTACTGAATGCAGAGTTGGGAAACCAGCCAGTAGCAGCTGGTTCCAGCACACCCCCGGCTTTTCATTCTTCATCATGATGCTCCTTTAAAATTGCTGTGTCCCATCCAAAGGAGAAGCCGATCTCTAGATCAAGGCTTCTCCAGCTGAGCCTTGAGGAGATCCGTTTCTCACCTACCTCTCCTGTCCAACATTCTCGCGGCCTCCTCTGCAACTGAACATCCAAACACAACACAAAGGAGAGAAGAAAACACAGTAGGCATGCAAATACTTGGCCAGATATTGACAAGAGCAGCTAGTCAATGGTTGAATAGAGGATACAGTGGGTAAAATGGGAGGTAGTGTGGTACAGCAGCTAATAATGATAGACTTGGAAGTCAGACCACCTGGGTTTCAGTTCAGTTCTTCCGTTTACTAGCTCTGTAACTTTGGCACAGTTATGTATCTGATCGTGATCTGCAAGATGGGAATGTAACCGACAGTACTTTCTTTGTAGAATTATCGAGTGGCTGTAGGAAATAAGGTGCGTAATAAGCGCTCAGTATGCACCTGATGATAATGATAATGAAAACTCCGTCTCAGTCATCTATACTATATGCTGCTAGTGGAGTTATGACCAGAGGAAAATGGCTTTCACTACTTTGTCGACTTTGATAAGGAATTGCATGGGGCATAGTCAACATTATGTTGGAGGCTGATGTCCCTGAAGTCTGAGAGTTTGGGAATGTGTTTCGCTCAACGCTGTTCCCAGAGCACAGCACGGGGCCTGGGCCATAGAAGGGGCTCAACAAATATTTTTTCTACCTAGATAGAGTGCTAAATGCTGCAGGGTCTACGCAAATGTGTAATATATTCAGCTGACCTTCAAGGAGCTTAAACCAGCACATGTTTCCAAGACACTGATGACATTTGTGTCTGCCTCAAGACGGAAGTTTCCTAAAAGTTACCAATGAGACCATCAGTAACAAAGGGTACCACACACACATTTATCTCCAAAAAGCAAAAGCAAATTCCTCTCCAAAAATGGCAGCTTAAGTGTTTTCTTTACTTTCATAAAAAAATAATCAAATGTCAGCCTTGTAAATATTTATGATCCTAAGCAGACAGTTCATATTTGAACATCAATTGTTTAAAGACGGTTGGGGTGCTTTTTTGATGGAAATCTTGTATCCTACACGTTCCTTGTACACAATACTTAGAAAACATGGCTTTAGAATATTTTCCAAGATGAGGTCAAGAAGGTAACTAAACGTGATTGTATGGGCCCGTCCGAGCTTCATTTATTCCCGCCAGTGCATTTGTAAACGTTAGAAGCAAAGAAGTTTCACCTGCCAGGAGGCCACTGTGACACTGATTCATGATTAAATACGATTTGGGTCATAGTGTTTCTGCTTCTCAAATGAATTTCCCAGTAGAACACAACAGGGAAATGAGAGAAAGGGCAGAGAAGTCACCACAACTGTGATGCTTGTTAAGTATCCCAGCAAGACAGGGGCAGAGCAGTGTGGCCAGGCACTCTATGATCTTGTGCCAATAATGACCTATGACTTTAAATGAGTCATCTGGGCCACAGTTTCCTCAATAGGAAGAAAAAATGTTAAAGATTATATAAATATTAGGCATTGTTAATGTTCTATTAATCACTTGTTTAGAAAGTATAACTATTTCTGAACTTCTGAAGTGCCTTCCTTCTCTAAAACACAACGGTTCTGTCAACTTGATAATGGAGATCCAAGAATCACAGGAAAAATGGATGTATTTTACTCAGCTGCTCAAGAATAAGCCCCAAACGCTCTGAAACCGTGAGTCTCCAGGGTCTCATCCCACCAGTACTCTGCCCAGAGCAAAACTGTCTGGGCATTACTTAAATTTCAGTTTTTGTCCATTTTTTCTCTACTCTGCTAGAAAAATCAAGAGAAAGGAAAAAATAGAGAGGCCTTAAAAGCTGTCCATTAAGACTGTTTACGAATCAACCAGACCACGTAAATTTGTCAAAGCTCAAAAATCTACAGTCGCTTACCAGGATGTCTTTGGTATGATTGGCCAGTTGGTAGAGCAAGCTAGTCACTTACAATAATAACACCTAATTGAAATGGAATTGTTGGAGCATGAGAGGTTCTATGCAATGAATTTTCCAGAAAACTGACACATAAGGATGAAAACTTTTATTTGTAAGCATGAAGGGCAGAGCACTTTCTAAAATAGCCTACTACCCTCGCTGCTTACGCCAAAGATGATGAGCTCAACTAAGCCTTTTCAGGGATTCAGGTTTGCCATCATTGAATATCCATGATTTTACAAAACTGTGCTCATTTATCATATCCCACTGTCCAGGCTGATAAGGCCAGGCACTAGCTTTCCCAGCCTGCCTTGCAGCTACTGCCTGAGCACGTGACTCAAACTTGGCCAATGGTGCATTCTGAGGGACTTCCAGGAAGGGGGTGGGGGCTTGTTTTTATTTCTGGGTTTTTTTGCTTGTTTGTTTTATTTTGTTTTGAGTTCAAATAAAAGGAGAGGAGAAGGAGATAATGACTCTTCTATGCTGGACATAGATGTGTTCACCTGTGAGGGGGGCCATGGTTACACTCTGAGGATGGCAGACACCAGAGTCCTTGGAAGCATCCCTAAGCCACCGAGTTAAGCTTGGAGAGGACCCCTCTCCCCTCGTCCTGGACTTCTGGATAAGAAAATAACTGTTTTCTTGTGAGATTGTGGCAGTCAAGGGATCCTTTTCTTGCATCTAAAAGCACTTAGGATATAGACAAGCTGTCCAGGAAAGACCAAATAAGGGTTCAGAGCCAAACTGTTTGTGGAACAGGTGACCTGTGGCCCTTCTGAGTGTGTAACCACATAAGTGGACATTCAAGGTGGCCTTTTGCTGCACTGAAAAAGATGAAAGATCTTGGTTGCTAGTGTGTGCTTATAGGCCCCTGGGTTGCAAGGCAGTGGACCCCAGGGAAGGGCAGATAAGGGTGTGGTTTGGAGTCCAGGTGAACAAGGTGTGACACAAAGTATAGCCATGAAGAACCTGGGCCCTGGGCTCTGGCCAAGTCCCCACTCCATCACATAACAGAAGTTACATAAGTTTCCTGTGCCTCTTCCTTAAATGGGACAGCAATAGTGCCCTCCACACAGGGCTGCTGGCAGGACTGAATGCTGAATTTTACGGGATCTATCATCTCATGGATTGTAAGATGTGTCCCAATTTTAGAGACCTTAAAATGTAGGGAGTGGGAGGAAAATGTCTTTGAATTGGTGAAATATGGTGAGTTTGTGTATGTGAAGTTCTCAGAATGGTGCCCGGCATGTAGAAAGGGCCATGGAAATGTTTGCTGTGGTTATTGGAGCTGGAGAAAGGGCTTTTCTCTCAGGCTTCACTTGGGATGTGCAGAGTGGCCCCTCAAGGCCTGGTTGCTTGGGAAGTATCAGGAGGGAGCATGGAGACTGACAGTCTCGTGGAGGGCACCACCTGCCCTGCGGGTGAGCGACTCCAGTGGAAACCAGAAAGGCTTGGGGCCAGGTGTGGGTGGAGCAGGACCTTGCCAGAGCCAGGTGGGGACAGCTTCATTTGACACACAGGCTGACAAGCCTCGGACAGCTCGTTTACAAGAGCCACGTTGTGTGGGCTATTGCGGGGCCAGCTCCACTTGCCTGTACATTAAATGTCCCCCGATCACGCTACATGTCTGAGCTCTGATGGTGCTTTTTGACCATTCTTGGACTCCCCCCTCACCAACAGGCTCAGGCTGCTCACTGCTCACAGCACCCCTTCTTCTTCCAATTGCCTTCTTTTAACCTTCCACGTCTAGGAGGTCGGAAAACCAAATGTCATCAACTTGCTAGAAGGACTCTCCTATGAGTAAAAAGTATATAGTCACTTCATTATTCCCTCCAGTCACTCAACAGATACTATCAAGCGCCTACTCATGTAGATGCTGTCCAGGCATTGGGGACCCAAAGGAACCAAGAGAGACCAGCCTCCTGCTCTGATGGGGTTTACATTTTAGTAGGACAGATAACAGAGATAGATAACATCCAATTAAAGTAAATGAACAGTATGATGCAGGCAATTATAACCAGTGTGCAGCAAGGCAAACAGCGTGAAGGATGAGAGGAGCAGGGGAGCAGGGTGGGGAACCTGGGGCCAGATAAATGTTTTAGATCAGATCAGGGATGGCCTCTCCTGAGAAGGCGACATGCAAAACAAGACCTGGATGAAAGATGGAGTCAGACTTGCAAAGGTCACACAGAGGTCCCCAGGCAGAGGCCTGAGCAAGTGCCCAGACAGGAGACAGGAGGAAGTTCACGGTATTTGAGTGGGAAGGAGGCCACTGTGGCTGGCAGCAGTGCGCCAAGGGAGAGGCCACATAAGGACTTGGTGTTACTGCAGTAGCGGCGGGAAGCCGTGGCAGGGTTCTTTGTGGTCATGATTCTGGTTTTGTTTTCACTCCCTGAAAGAAACACTGATTTGTCTTTTAGAGAGATCACCGTGGCTGCAGGGCGGAGAATGGACTGTGGCAGCCAGGAGAGGAAGAAGGGAGCCTACCAGGAGGCCTGCAGTCAGGAGAGAGAAGACGGTGGTCAGGACCGGGGTGGCCGCCCTGGAGGAGGTGAGAAGTGTGCGGATTCTGGATACATTTTGGAGGAATGAGGTTTGTTGGGGGTTTTATAGCGTCCCCCAGACATACATGTCCACGTGCTAATCCATGACACATGTGAATATGATCTTATGTAGAAAAAGGGTCTTTGCAGATGTTATCAAGTTAAGGTGAGGTCATACTGGATCAGGATGGGCCCTAAATTCAATGACTGGTCTCCTCTTAAGGAGAGAGAGATGTGAAGACACAGAGACACACAGGTAAGGAGACAAGAGTAGTGCAGCCAGGAGATAAGGAATGCCAATGTTGCCAGCAACCGGCAGAAGCTGGGAGAGGCAGAGAAGCGTTCTCCCCTAAAACCTTCAGAGGAACATGGGCCTGCCGACCCTTTGATTTCAGACTCTGGCCTCCAGAACTGTGTGAGAATAAATTTCTGTTGTTTTCAGACAGACTCAGTTTATGGTAATTTGTTCTGGCAGCCCTAGGAAACTAAGACAAGGCTGTGAGAGAGAAGAGCGTGTTAAGAGAATGGCAGGGCGTCTTGCAGAGCAAGAGTAAAGGGAACACATATTTTAATGATGGAATGAGCTTTCTATAGAGGTCATAAATTACATACTCACCTGCAGTATGCACCAAATTCTTTGGAGTGCTGATGGAAATGATGGAAATGGAAATCAACTCTGGGGATACCAATTGTGTAACCAAATCAATTGCACATGGCCAAGTGGGTCTCACACCCACTCTTTTCCCTTTCATCACCTCTCTGCTCACTGGTGCCAGCAACGCCACTCTAACAAATTTATGCCACTGGGAATATGCCATTAAATCCACCATGGACAATGATCTGTGGAGCCTTATCTGAGCTTTGAAAAGATTTCCTGCTTTTGAGTCAAAAGATCATTAGACACAGTTCAGAAACAAACTACGAACCAGTGTTTTAAGACAAACTGACTGTTGTAGTGAGCCCTTAATGGAATCGTGAAACAGACCCAATCTCTTGGAATTTTGCAGCATAGAATGTTTGGAGAGCCACCCTAAGAGAACCCCATCATCAGTGCCTGCTGCTCCCTGCCTTGGACTGTGGGGAGCCATTTGTGTGTGGGTCTGCTCAGCCAGTGGTCACCTCCTTGAGGACAGGGATCCTGTCTGGTTTAAATTTGTTTTCTTTTAAGCCTAGTACATTCATTTATTGAATAAATATTTATGGAAACTACTCTGCTAAGCCCCCAGGCATCCTTAATAAATAGTTGCTGAATGAAATTAAACACATTACATTCTCTGGTTGAAATAAAATCACATGAACAGAGGAAGGAAGGAAGGAAGAAAGAAAGGAAGGGAGAAGGGACTTGCTTATTTGTTAAAAAAAGAAAAAGAAACAGAAAAAAATAGTAGAAAAGACTTGTGTGAAAGATTGTAGGCTCTCTATACCTGAAGAAGACTGAGACGAAAATAGATAATGGAGAAAGTCCCCTTGGAAGACACTTAAGCAGGACTGGGGCAATATCAAAGTTCCATCAAGCTCTAGGCTATGATGTTCCACTGAGACGGGAAAGACAGGAAGGTAGGGTACTTGAGAACACAGATCTCAGAGACAGACTTGAGTTTCGACAAACTTGGAGGCCAGGCGGCCGTGTGCTAATTACAACTCCTACTGATCTTCACAGCTCCCTGTCCTTTCATACTGATCACTCGTCCCACTTGGAAATCAGGTGTGTGTTTGTTCAGTTTATCATCTGTTCTACTCGAGTACAAGCTATGCGCTTCATGACTATTTGCTCATTGCAGTACACCCAGCACTAGGCACACGCAGCCAGTCGATAGGGATTTATTGAACAAATACATGAATCATTTTGTTTAAGTTACTCAATCTCCCTAAGCCTCAGTTTCCTTGTTTGTAAAATAGGGACTATAGTTGTATTCCCTTCTCCAGGGCTATGAGGGCCAAACGAGATAAATTATTCCAATGCTTGGCTCAGAAGAGGTGTTCAATAGATGATGAATATCAAGTTATAACCAATGTTGTTGACATTATTATGGATGTAAGAGCTAATTTATTCAAATATTAAAATGAAAGGAAAGCTAGAGCACCGTTAAAAAGGTAAACTCGTTATAAAAAGACATTTGGAAAAATGCTTAATAAGATGGGAGGCCTATCAGACTGAAATAAAGGCATAGAGACATAAATTGGGTAAGGGCGGACTTCCCCTCAGGAGGCCGGAGGTGCTCCCCAGGTGTCAGAAGGAAGAGGGTACTAAGGCATTTCCCCTTGGTTACTGCACTTGCTTTGACAGCATCTCCAAAGGGGCAATGTAAGAGAACAGCAGTGGCTACACTTTATCACAGAAACAAGCACAGCCTCTCCCTGCCAGCCTCAAGCGAGGTTTGCTCCTTAATACTTGAAAGGAAATACATTATCAAAATTCTTGTCTGCATCATCCGGTTTGCCACCTAAGAATTGCATTCTCTTTATTTGTCAAGTGCATATTTTCTCTTTACTTTTTATCAGACTTTATCTTAGAACTACTCAACAGTTCCAGAAAGCTGAGAGGTTATTGTTCAATCCACATCTTGCGATGTCACGATAACGTACACCCAGATCCTGGTCATAATTCACAGTCCCCTGTAGCTTGTTTATTTCTAGTCAAACTTTTTGAACTTCAGCTTGTACCTGAAAACATTTGACCTAGCACATCACTGGGGGGACCCTGGTTCACTAACACTCTTTGAAACAAACCCATGACCAGCTTCCACCATGAAGTTGAGATGTTGGGTCTCTAAATGTAGACTCCTGCACCATTTGTCTCTTGGCTCCAGAGCCATCTGAGACATCTCTTGTGATATATCGAGTTAAAAATTGTTCTTGTCCTATCTCTTTAGTCCAGCCATCAATGAACTTTCTGTACAGGGTCAGGCAGTAAATATTTTAGGATTGTGAGCCAGATGGTCTTTGTTACAACTACTCAACTTTGCCATTGTGGCCTAAAAGTAGCCACAGATAATATATAAATGAATGGGCATTGCTGCGTTCCAATAAAACTTTATTGACAAAACAGGCAGCTGCTGGATTTAGTCTGAGAGCCATAGACGGCTGGCCCCTGCTTTAATTATCTGTAGTTCCCCATATTTAGAGAATCAGAAAACTAAAAGACTCTTTCCTCTTGAGAAACTAAAAGGAAACCCATTCTAAAAGTAAACAAGACAACTAGCTCATTTGCCACCAAATAAAGTATAGTTATCTAAAAAATGCCCCACAAATTATAGTTCTTGCTGTTTTGTTGTTTGTTTTGGTTAATTCTTCCCAGACTAACTCCATGGGAGCAGGAAATAGACAGCAGAACCCCTTTTTCAAATGTCTCTCACATAGAACCCTGATGAATAAAGCCAAGGGATGTGAGGAAGGGGTTCTTCAGGCGGTCTACAACTTTACTGCTTCAGATAAATTCTTGAGTATTTGGAGATGGCCTGTGGTACCCCTGCAGAGCCCAGGGGTGTCATAGAGCCCAGCGTGACAAACACTGGCAAAGAGTAGAGACGAGGGGGCTCAGAGTTGGAGAGCTGAACTCTAGACCAGGCCGTATCCAGTTTCTTTGGAAACGTCAGAGATACGAGGAGACAATAGGCAGAGCCCCAGAGGGATTCAGAAGTTGATCTTGACTCTGACACGCCAGGTCCTGATTGGGGTCCTTGCAGATGCCCAGCTGGCCTTCTGTGGTCTGTGCCTAGTTTCCCTGCAATAAATTTTGTTTTGTCCTCTGTTTAAGTTAGGTTGGCTGTGAGTCTGTTCTTTACAACCAAAAAAAATTCCTTAAACAAATTAGCAGCAGAATTAGGTTTAATGACATTTCAATCCTGTTTAGCTTATGCTGAATGGGCCAAATGAATCCTGGAATGTAATTTTATCTGCAAATTCTTAAATTAAAAAAATATTTTTAAGTCTTTCATAAGACAAAACTCCAATTGTGGAAAGAAAAGGATTTGGGCTTTTATGCATTTGCCTACAGCTGTTTACAGTCCAAATTCCACTTCTGGAATAAAAATGAATCAGAGAATATTCAGTGCAAAGTTAAGGTAGTGATTCAAAATCAGGAGAGTGTGATTCATGAGATGAGATTAAAATAATGCTACAGCCAAGCTAAACGCAGAGGAAAGGTGTAGAGGTCGGGGAGACCCATCGTCTAAAAGGGGAAAACAACTGAGTGATGAGGCTTCGGGCATTGGGGCACATTAGGTAAGAAGAGGGCAGGAAGGCTCAGAAAAATGTCCTGAATACTGCTAATTCCACTAGAAGGCAGAATTAAACCTCTGCAGGAATTTGCGGAATTATCTTCAGAATTAACTGTGTGGTTTCTGAGCCTGGCCTCGATAAGCAGGCACAAGATGCGTTTTAGAGCATTAGTTCTCAGCCACTGGGAAGGGGTGACAGTTAGAGTTGCCCTTGGGCACTTGGGTCTCCCTTGAAGTCTATGCTGGGACCTGACATAACCCAGCAACCAGCACACGGCACACACATGGGAACAGAGCCACAGGCACCCAGGGGTCGGTGAGAAAATAGGGTGAGAAGCCCTATTTTAAAGAATTCATCCCTGTGTCTGTGTGTAGCCCTCCAGAGAGAGGAGCGCCTGGAATACTCTCCTGCTCAGACTCCAGAAAAAAAGATTGCCGTGTAAGACAGTGGGAATGGAATCGATTGGGCCTCAGGGGTCTGAAATCTGGACTTGTTACTAGCAATGCAACTGGGTAGGTCATTTTGACTTTCACTTTCCTCGTCTAGGGCGTAGGACTAGACCAGTGGTCAGAAAACTAGGGCCCATGGGCCAAACCCAGCTGCCACCTGCTTTTGTAAATAAAGTTTTATTGGAACACAGCCACACCACTTCTTTACATGTCATCTGTAGCTGCTTTTGCACTACAACAGCAAAGTTGAGCAACTGCAACATAGTCAGTATGTCCTGCAAACCCTAGAACAATTACTCTCTGGCTCTTTAGAGAACAAATTAGCCAACCCCTGTACTAAACTCTTTTTACAATATCTTCCAAATTCTCTTACTCATTCTCACGTTGCCACACACCAAGAATATGCTTCCAATGTGTGTGTAAGTGTGTGTGTGCATACATGGGAGAGAAAGAGATTCACCTTTCTCATTCGTGGAAATTATTTACAGATGATGAGTTGGGGGTGTACCCCAAGTGACTTCCCATGGGAATACTCAGCCCACCAAGAAAAGGAAGATTCCCGGGAGACAGAGAAAAGTTCGTGGTTTCTGATGGGCCCAAGGAGAGAATGAATCTGTGTCTTTCCTCCTGTAACACACAGCCTTTCTGGTGGCACCTCTCAGAGTTCTCCTTTCTTCAAGTATCGAAAATCCAGCCCGTGGTCACTGCATCCCCACACAAACTCCAAACCAAAACCAAAGTGTATAAACATCCCTCTCACCGCTTCCCTCGGTAGTAAGTTTGGTTGATCCTGCATTTATAGGATGATTTCAGTTCCAGCCACTCAGAAACTGCAGATTTCTGTTTTCTTCTCAGCTAACACAATTCAGGAAGAACAGCCAACCACCGGAAGGGTAGCCAGCTTCCATCAAACTGCACCAATTATTCACGGGGACTGCTTCTTGTTCAAACTATTCACAGGCTTGGATGTTAGGGCACGATTTTCCACAGAGAAATCTCATTCCTAGAGGGAGAAAGACACAGCAGCAGCAGCTGCCTCTGCCACCACCCCTTCTGGTGGCGGTGAAATTATGAGCTGACAGTCTCTGCCAGCTGGTACTTTTCTGATATGGGTCATTTGCCATCATGACAGGAGGACTGGGAAGGAATTGAATGATAGTTTTAATCCACGTGTTAGAAAACATACTCATATCAAAAATAAGTGTCTGTAACTATGAAGCGGTTAAAAAATATCGTTAATCCCTAAAATCCTCCATCTTTCGTGAAACAGCCCTCATTTTGGGTATTTAACAAAATTACAAAAATACATTTTGATTCCACCGTTCACATGCCCCTTGTGGCATCTTCCTTCTCCTCAACTGCATTCAGCCAGAAACTCCACTTATATTCTGCCAGCTTAGTGACCACCAGTGGAAAGTGGCACTCTGTCTTTTCCAACATCTATGTACTCATCCAGGAAAGACTCTGAATGGTTGTACCTGGGTCACGTGCCTATCCTGCACCTATCGCTCTTTCTATGAGGAAGGGGATTTCTAACGGGCCAACCTGGGTCATACACCCATTCCTCTGGCAGGGATAAGGGATCCTGACTAATACCCACCAGAACTGTAAGGAGTGGGTAGGGTCCCCAAGGAATGAGACAGGCCCTTTAAGCAGCCCAAACTATAACTACCACGATCTATCCTGCCAGCCTTCAAACGTGGTGTTTCCAAGGGCATCAGCAAGGATGGGAAGGGAAGTTAATACCATTCCAATAAAAAAGGGGATCAGTTCACCATACTGGCATCAAAAAGCACCACAAGGTGATAACAGTTTTGTGGCAATGTCGTAAAGCAGCTAACAAAACGTTTATTATTTTGTGGTAGTCAGATTTATATTATCAGCAACCACACCAAACGTAGATTTGGGATTTTCCTTACTATATTTGCTGGTTTATCTTGGTTCTCTATTATTCTTCCTTCTTTCTCCTGCCACCTTGTTCATCCATTTCCCTCTTCATAATAAAAATGGTTATCCAGTAGCCATATTGTATTCAAATGTTTGAGAAATAACAGGCCATCTTTCCTGGATTTAAGCTTCCAGAAAGGTAAGCCTTTTTGTTGGTGGTCGACATTCACTTTATAAGGGGTTTGTGTGTAAGGTGTTCATATTTCCCTGGAGGCTTCCTTATGGGATTATCAGTAAGAATCTTGAGGAATGGTCTGCGAGTCATTCTGAAATCTACAGGAATTCAAGAGGAAGGCATGGCTTTGGCCCCAGGCTCCTATCCTGAAAGGAAGCCAGCACATGGCCACAGGCTGCTAACACCCCCTGTTCTCTGCTGTCCTCTTTCTTGATCGTAGAAAGACCATTTTTAGGATTACAACTGCTCCCACAGAGCAATGAATGTTCATGGGTTTCTTTTTTTTTTTTTTTTTTAAAGATTGGCACCTGGGCTAACAACTGTTGCCAATCTTTTTTTTTTTTTTTTCTGCTTTATCTCCCCAAAACCCCCCGTACACAGTTGTATATCCTAGTTGCAAGTCCTTCTAGTTGTGGGATGTGGGATGCCGCCTCAACGTGGCCTGACAAGTGGTGCCATGTCTGCACCCAGGATCCGAACCCTGGGCCGCCGCAGCGGAGTGCGTGAACTTAACCACTCGGCCACGGAGCCGGCCCCCATGGGTTTCTAATAGACTTTCTCTAACACTAACTTGTTAATATCCTCTGAATAAGCCTTCCTCACACCGAGTTTAAAGAGATTCCATTTAAGCCCAAGTCCCTCAAAGTGGTGTGGGGGACTGGAATTGGCCACCCCAAGATCTGCCTCTTAGGCATGAGGATTATTTTGGGCTGGTTACTTTTAAAAACTGCAGACATGAGAGAAACTCTGAAAAGAGAAGTTACCCTTTGTTAAGAGACATTTACTTTTGTAAAGGAAATCTCCATCTGTAAAGGTGTCTCCCTCTCTGTACTGGGACAGAAGAAGGGGGGATGACCTTATCTCTAGAAACTCTTATCAATACAGAAGGCAAGGACTTAAATCTGCATTATAACCTTACTCTTGTTTACTGTGCTTCTCTGGTGATCTCCCATAACTGACTCCCCCCACCCCCAACATCCTCCTTTGTCTTTAGCTGAGGATGATATTTAAGGTGAGAGCCTCTGGAATTTTGGTGAGTTGCTCAGTTTGCCTGAGTCTCTCCCACGTATACATGTTATAAAGCTTTGCTTGACTTTCTCCTGTTATTCTATCTCATGTGAATTTAATTTGTAGCCCGGCCAGCAGAAGGACCTACAGTGGGTAGAGGAAATGTCTTCCTCCCCTACAGTTGGAATGGCACATTTTCTCAAGACTGATTTTACTCAACTACTCCACTTTATTATCTTAAATACATTATTTTAACACTAAGCACACCATTAACTTGGGGAAACACCATGTTCAAATGTAAAGATCCTAGCTGTATTTAGACTTTGTGAGTTGGAAGAAAAATATTCTCCTTCCAAAGTGACTTGGAAATTCAAAGGCTTTGTGATAAGCACATGTAGAGATTTGCTTTCTAAAATCCTAAAATATTCTCTGCTATTCACAAAGTTTTCAAATGCACATGAATAAAACATTGTGATTTCTCAGGGGGAAATATCCTCAAATGTTGGCCAAACAAGAACAGCCATTTGGAAGCCCTTGGAGATTTCCTAAGGCCACAGATGCTCCAACCATCAGACTCCACAGGGCCTCTGGCAATGCTTCTGATGAGGCCCACAATCCCCAATTCCGAGGGTGTTAGGCACCTACTCTTTGGGAGGCACTATGGAAAACACAATTTCTGCCTTAATCCGGCCTTCAATTTGTGTTGTCAGAGGCACATAAAATGCTGCGAGTTCTTAACATAGTACGTTGCTGGTGTTTCTATCATGCAAGCTTGCACCTTTGCATTTTATTTTAGGATACTTTCTGTGCTAGGATTTTAGAGTTTCTCAAATTCATACCTTCTGTGGGTCCTCATTTCCCATTATTAGGGCTTTGCAAGAGCCTCGCTGTCTCTGATCTTCTGCAGTCCCTCCTCCAAACACCACCAGAATTACCTTCTGGCACCCAGGACTGATCATCCTTCCCTGGGTTTGATGCTTCTGCATTGCCTACAGAATGATAAACAAATGGTAAGCAATAGGATATTGGAGTATATGAGGAAGCCATTTGGTGTAAACTTAATTTGGCCCGACCTTGTTTTTCCAAAAGGGTCTAATGTAGCCATTTGAGCATGCCTTGTATATCTGCTTTAAGCATTGCTATGTCCCAAAGAGAGAACAAATGGCCTTAAGATAAAGATGCAACTTCTCCCATATTGTCGTTTCCTTAAGGATAAGCATCTCTCTCTAGACTAGGAATTGATTGTTGTGCTCACCTGTGACCACTCAGCTCGAGACCTGCTACCTGCTTTGTCTATCAAGACAGCAGACCTGCTACCTGCTGTGTGAATAGCTGTGCTGTGTCAGCTAGGCAACTTCATGACTGTTGTAAAAGGGATATTCCTATCACATGTGATGTATGCTCTTTGTTCCATGAGGGTATACAACCACTCTGTACACCCCACTTCTTTGGTGCCCTTCCTTCCTTGGGGAAGGAAGGCCCCAGGCTAGGCTAGTCCTCATGTCTGGCTCTTAATAAACTCACCCCAATTTCGATTTATAGATTGGTTATGGATTATTTTCATCGACAAGAATGAGATTCAAACTTTGCAGCATGGAACTTACACTTCTGGTCAAGACAGAGTAACAAGAAGATTTACCCTCCCACCCAAATTAATGAAAAAAATGGATAGAATGTAGAAAATAATGGTTTTGAAAACAGTGGACATCAGGCAATGAAGGACAGTGATCTCTGAGAGACAGAAAAGAAACAGAATGAGCCCTACAAATACTCTAGTTTACTGACTTGAGAGAGTTTAAAGGCCAGAGCATAGTGTGGATACTAGGCAAAGCCAGCCTGACTCCCTGAACTGAGGAGACAGCGTTGAGAGTCCCGAGAGACTAAGGCAGCTAGAGTCCTTAGGGCGGAGCACAGAGAGTAAAGAGCTTCATGGAGAAACGACTCCAGAAGATCTGTGGTGTTCCCGTCACGTAGTCGGCTGAGTACTGATCAGCACACGTGTGCAGAAACTTCCTAAGGCTGAGGAAAGAACCACCCCAGAGGGTTAGAGATAACGGTGCCCAGTGCTCACACAGGACTGAGAATATATCTGTCTGTCCTAGTCGGACTGCCAAACCACGTGACTCATGGGCCCTTGGGGAGAGCACATGGAAGGACCCACCTTAGTAAGGACAAGTAACTAAACTTAGACTGATCGTGCCTCTTGTCTCACCTAAAAAATCACAAAAGCAAGACCCAGAGTATCAAACTGTTGCCAATTTGTCAGAGAACAAATCTCAATAAGATCTGTAGAAACTGTTTAAAAAATCTTGTATCCAACAAGGTAATTTTCACAATGTCTGCATACGTTCAAAAATTGCCAGCCATGCAAAGAAGCAGGAAAATATAACCCATAAAGAGGAAAAAAATTAATCAATCAAAATTGATCCCCACTGACACAGATGTTAGAATTAGCAGACAAAGACATTAAAACAGTTGTTACAACAGTAATCCACACATTTAAATGTTCCATAGAGATATGGAAGATATGAAAACAATACCAAAATTGAACTTTTAGAGATGAAAACTACAAGGTCTGAGATGAAAAACACACTAGACGGGGTTAATAGCAGATTAGACATTGCAGAAGAAAACATTAATGAACTTGGAACTATCCAAAATAAAACACAGAGAGAAAAAAGAACTTAAAAAGTTAACAGAGCATCAGTGAACTGTGGGAAGAGTTCAAGTGGCCTAATAAATATGTAATTGGAGACTCCTAAAGAGAGGAGAGAGAAGGGAAGACAGAAAAAGTATTTGAAGGAATAACTGTTTCAAAAAAAGGAAAATTTTCTAAATATGACGAAAACTATAACCCACAGATCCAAGAATCTCAACAAACCCCAAGTACAAAAAACATCAAGAAAACTACAACAAGGTACATCATAAGCAACTTGCTCAAAACCAGTGACAAAGATAAAATCTTAAAAGAAACTGGAGGAAAAAAGACACGTTAAATATAAAGGATTAAAGGTAAATATTACAGTAGATTTCTTGCAGGAAAAAAATGCAAGCAAGTAAATGGTAGAACAATTTCTTTAAAGCACTGGGAAAAAATTGCCTAACAGAAATAAATATCTTTGAAAAGCAAAGATTAAATACTTTTTAAGACATACAAAAGCAGGAAGAATATATAACCAGCCAACTCAAACTACAAAAAATGTGACAGGAAGTCCTTCAGGCAGGAGGAAAATTATACCAGTTGGAAATATGGATTTACACATAAGAATGAACAGCACCAGAAACGGTAACTTCCTGGGTAAGTATATAAGATTTTTTCTTATTGTTTAAATTTCTTTAAAAGATAATTGACCGTTTAAACAAAAATAACAGCACAGTATGGGGTTAATAGCATATGTAGAATTAAAATGTATGACAAAATAGTACAAAAGTCAGAACAGGGGAAATGAAAGTAAACTATTGCCAAAGTCTTATACTATATGTGAAATGGCATAATACCATTTGAATGTAGACTATTATAAGTTAGAATGTATACCATAAACTTTAGAGGCTGGCCCCATGGCATAGTGGTTAAGTTTGGTACACTCTGCTTCTGAGGTCCAAGTTCACAGCTTCAGAACCCAGGCACAGACTTACACCACTTATCAGCCATGCTGTGGCAGTAACCCACATATTAAGTGGAAGGAGGATTGGCACAGATGTTAGCTGAGGGCTAATCTTCCTCAGCAAAAAAAAAAAAAAAAAAAAGTGTACCATAAACCTTACAGCAGCCACTAAGGAAAACAAAACAAAGCAAAGAATTAAAGCTAATAAGCCAACAGAGAAGATAAAATAGTAAAAAATATTCAATTAATCCAAAAGAAGGCAGAAAAAGAGAACAGTGAACAATTGGAGAAAATAGAAAAACAGCAGCAAAATGATAAATTTAAACCCAATCTTATGACTAATCATATTAAGTGTAAATAGTCTAAATACTCCCATCAAAACATACAGATTATCACACAGGATAAAAAAAAAATGCAAGACCCAACTATGTGCTGTGTACAAGAAACATGCTCTAAATATTCAAATGCCAAAAGGTTAAAAGTTAAAGAATAGAAAAATATATACTGTGCTAATGTTAATCAAAAGAAAGCTGGAGTGGCATAATTAACATCAAATTTTAGAGCAAAGAATATCACTGGGCATACAGAAAATCATTTCACAATGATAAAGGGATCAATTCTGCAAGAGGATGTAACAGTCTTAAATATTTATGACCCTGAGAACAGAGATTCAAAATACAAGAAGTAAAAATTGATAACTGCAAGGAGAAATAGACATGCCCACAGTGATAGTTGAAGTTTCCATATCCCTCTCTCAATAATTGCTTGAACAAATAGGCAGAAAATCAGTAAGGATATAGAAGAGCTGAACAACGCTATCAACCAACTTGACCTGAGCAACGTTTAGGGGACACTGCACCCAGCAACCACAGAATACACGTTCTTCTCAAATGCACATGGAAAATTTTCCAATATCTTCAGCCATAAAACAAGTCTGAACAGATTTAAAACGATTCAAGTTGTTCAAAGCACATTCTCTAACCAGACTGGAATTAAATTAGAAATCAATAACAGAATATCTGGAAAATCCTCAATATTTGCAAACTCTGCAGCCTGGTTTTTGACCCCCTTACAATACAGACTCAAGTTGTGTTTATAGCATTGCCTCCTACTGCTGTTAATAATAGCTAAAACTCATGCAGTGCTTACCTTGTGCAGGATTTAGTGCTCATAATGACCCTATCAAGTAGGTGGTCTTATTCCCCTTTTATAGGTGAAGAAACTGAGTCACAGGGCAGTACGGGAATCCACCTGAGGTCATAAGGTAGGGGGCGTTAGAGCTGAGATTTGCAGAGGCAGTAGGGTCCACAGCCCGTGCTCTCAGCAGCTGCCCTCCTGCCTCTCAGTGTCCTCCCTGACCACTGGCCCTCTCACGGGTAGCTCTGCCTCCTCTCCCTTCACGCCTTTGCTCAGGCCATTTCCTCTTGACGGCGTGTTCTCCCTCTTTTCCCTGTGTTAACACATGGGCTCTTCTTGCCCTCTCCATTTGGTTATCTCTCAATTCCCAGCTCAAAAGCTATCTCGATTTCATTCAACAAGAGTTCTCTGCTCTCCATAGGAATGACACAGTTCTTTTTTGGAACTCTTGAAACAATAGCCAAAATTTCTCCAGCAGTTTCTATGGTAAAACAATAGGAATACAGAGTCCAGCAGAAGAGGGGCAGGCCAGAGCTTCTCTGAGTTGAGAATTAAAACAGAGAGGTCGACAAAACCAGCACTCCTTTTTTAGTCCCCTTTCCCACCAGGTGAAGCTACCTCCCTAGTCCAACCTGCGGTTACTTCCTGGGCGGGTGTACCTCGGAGATCCTTGGCTGACAGCCCCTGCCTCAGAAGGAGCTCACGTCCAGTCTCCTGCTTTCTAGCGCTCAGCTGCCCAGCCTGGGCTGGGCCTGCCTTCTTCTTCCTGGATTCTCTCTTATCTACTTGGATTCCTGACGTTCTGCACAGTCTGACCCTGGCTCCCACATACCTCCTGATACCAGCCTGCCGTGGCACACACCATGTCACAAAGTGACTTTTTCAAAATGTAAATCTCATTGCGTCTTTTCCTGCTCAATACCCTTCAACAGGATAAAGACCAAAACCCTGTACTTGGTCTACCGGGCACGGCGTGGCCTGACCCTACTAACCTCTTACCCCATCTCACAGCATACTCACCAACCCTCTGAAACCCAGACATACGGGCCTCTCTCTCCACCCCTCCTCCAAATCCTTCCTCCCAGTTAATTCCTACCCTTCCTTTGGGATTTCAATTAAATCCTCTCTTCCTCAGGGAAGTCATCACTGACCTACCCAATAAACCATTCCTCCATTATAATTCCCGAGAGCCTTACGAGCCCGTCCTTCCACAACCTTTGTCACAATTACAGTATCGTATTCACTGGGTGACTTTTTTGGCTAGCGGTGGTCTGCTCTACCAGACCATGAGCTCTCTGAGGGCAGGGACTCTGTCCATTTTTGCATCCCTGGCATCTTGCTCACAGTTGGCCCTCAAGAGGCATTCATTCAACGAGCGACTGAAGAAGCTTGGTAAGCCAGGTATGACATGAATGATATGGACTGTGAAATAATATCAGTTTTCTCGTCTTTCACTGGACATCTTTCTCTCTCTCCCAGGAAGCCTCCTTCCTGGTCTGAGGACTCACAGGCCTGAGACAGCATCTTCGGGCTCTAGTTCTCAGAGAGGCCCGGTCCCTAATGTATTTTGACATGCTTTCTCGTAGCAATTGTTCTTTGCCTCTACAATAGATTGATCAAATACCCGTAGGATGATGTTTGCCGCTGTTCCACCAGCATAGTTTTACTGCGATGGCCTCCTGTCTGCCTCTGCGGCTAAATGAATTTACAAAGCACATCTTCCCCGGAGCTTGCAATTTATGTACATGAACTTGGGCTGACGGGATTACTGATGAGTGACAGAGCACAATTGAATCAAAGTGGTCCTTCCAAATGAATGTAAACACATTTAGGATTCGGGAAAAGCTGATGCTAGCTTCATTTACATCTCCCCTACCTTGGAGACAACAATAAGGACTTTCATTTATCTCATGTTATCATTGTCTAGAAATCATCGAACTCCCTGTAGGTCTTGAGCCAAATAGATTTCAGGTAAACATTCTCTGCTCTGCACTGACCCCAAATCAGATCTGCAGAGGCCGTGACTTCCAGTCCTACGGCCTCTCTGGCCCTTTCTCCTGGTTCTTGTAAGTTCATCTAGTTCCAATAGCTTTCAGGATTTGGGGTTGGGTTTAAATTACCTTCCTCCTATTGGCATTTGTATTTTTATTTTATTCCTCTTTTTGTCCCAAGGGATTAGACTGTGTGGTTTCATTTGGCTCTAACACCATTTGTATACTGTGCTCCACGGAAGGGAAGCAAGCAAAATAGGATGGGAGAGTGGTTTTCCAAACAGAAAGGGAAACAGCATTGCTTTGCATGGCCCGACCTCCCGACAGCCTAGTTCTCCGGTCTGATGTTGGGGCCCAGAGAAGGGAAAGAGCAGATGCAAGTTTCTCATGCTCCTCATCACTCCCAGAGATGTCCTAAGGAGCCTAAAGTGCCATAAAACTGCACCTAAAACCAAAGCTTCTGGCTATAACCAACCACTGGAATGAGAAAGTTCTAGCATGTCCCAGAAAGCCTTATCACTTTATGGCAGCACCCCTGTGATCACAAAGTCCTGGGCACTTTCACTTCTGACGTCTCAAAGTTTCTCTCTGATATTTACTGCTTTCACATTCATCTCATTTGATCCTCAAAAATACTGTGAAGCAAGCAGGGCAGAGTTTATCATCCCCGCTTTGGAGATTCAGAAACTAAGGCCCCGTGTAGACACCTGCTCCTTCTTCCTGCGCTGTCTCTTTCCCCTCTTCTTCTGATACTGGTGTCTCCCTCTCCCTTAGGAAACTTCTCTTCCCATATCACAGTTGGTTTTGATGAGGCCGTGGATCACACGATGCTGCTGCCACTGCTGCTGCCTCCTGTATTGCTACCACCTCCCTGAGCTAAAAGTGAGAGGCAGACTCTCTGTCTCCCGGAAATTTGAATCCAGCAGAGAACTTTGAGGCAGAAGGCTGTTGGAATCAAGGGACAGCCCATGAGGTCTGCTGCTGAGATCCCTGGAGACACCCAGTTGCTCAAATCTCCCTTTCTTTTATAACCCTCCCAAGTCTCCTCCTAACAAATCTTTCTTTTCTTGCTTAAGTTAATCAGAGTTAGTTTCTGTCACTTGCAACTAAAAAACTCAGGAATAGGTTTGTAATTTGCCCAAGCTCTAGTCTGGATCACAGGTTACCAGTGTCCTTCAGGCTGTGTCATGGAGTAGAAGATGAGTGGTAGTAATATTTTACCCAGCACAGAGAAGATGGCAGGACTAATACACTGAACATAAAGCTCATTCATTATCTAGGGAAGTGGTTCTTAACTAAGGGTGATTTTGCCCCCCAGGGAACATATGACAATGTCTGGAGATATTTTTGGTTGTCATGACAGGTGGGGGTAGGGTGGGTGCTGTTGGTCTTGAGTGGGTAGAGGCCAGGGATGCTGCTAAACATCTTACAACGCACAGGACAGTTCCACCTCCCGCAGCAAAGAATTATCTGACCCAAAATGTTAATAGTACCAAAGTTTAGAAAACTTGATCTGGAGAAAAGGAGTTACTCACCATGTTAGCCAGGATACCACTAGGCAGTGGTCCAAAAGAAGAGCTCCAAATTTTCAATGGCTTAATACTTAGCTCATCAAATGTTTACAACTTGTTGTTGTAAAGTCTACTGTGAACTGGTGACTTTTTCCTGGAATGACTTGATTATCTAGACTGTTCCATCATGTGACACTGCCATTTCAGCACATAGTTTCCGAGTTAAGTCAGGGGATCTGAGAGCTGGAGGGTTGCAGGTATTTATTTATTTATTTATTTATTTATTTATTTATTTTTGCTGAGGAAGATTTGCCCTGAGCTAACATCTGTTGCCAATCTTCCTCTTTTTGTATATGGGCTGCCACCACAGCATGGCCACTGACAGACTAGTGGTGCAGGCCTGCACCTGGGAACCAAACCCAGGCCACCAAAGCGGAGCTCACTGAACGTAACCACTAGGCCACCAGGACTGGTCTGCAGGCAGGCTTTTATTTTATTTACTTATTTATTTATGTATTTATTTAAGATTGGCATCTGAGCTAACAACTGTTGCCAATCTTTTTTTTTTTTTTCCGCTTTATCTCCCCAAATCCCCACGTACATAGTTGTATATCTTAGCCGCAGGTCCTTCTAGTTGTGGCATGTGGGATGTCACCTCAACATGGCCTGATGAGCGGTGCCATGTCCGCGCTCAGGATCCGAACCGGCCAAACCCTGGGCCACTGCAGCAGAGCACACGAACTTAACCACTCGGCCACGGGGCTGGCCCCCTGCAGGCAGGCTTTTAAATGCTCCAGCCTAGAAGTGACATCTGTCACTTCCACTCACGACCCATTGGTCAGAACAAGAAACCTAACTGCCAGGAGGCTGGGAAAAGAGTGAGGTCAGGGACAATGCAATGGATACTGAAGAGTAAATGATTCTGCCACACCACCCACATAGCCTAGTGCTGTTATATTTTATTAGACACAGAAATCTATCTGTACAAGGCATGACTAAATTAGTGGCTAATTACCTAAATATATCCTGTGCAGTGTATTACTCAGTTATCTCTTGGAACCCAGGCTGTTTTTGTTTTTTTTAACCTCAAAGAATTAATTTGCTATAGCAAGCCCCTACTGCAGCCAATAATTCTTATCTCTAAATAAGGGTCATTAAGGCCTGTTTTGCTTGTGGTGTTCGGACTATGAACTGCAACAGACAAGCCACCGCTGGCTAAATTCCATTGATTCAAAGGGCATTTCCTTCCAAGAAGGACAGAGTCACATAAATGAAATTATACCCATACCTGACGCAGAGCATTTATAAGCGAGACCAATATATTTTCATTGCAAATAATTAGTTGGACTCAATTTATGCAGAGATGTCATATTGCAGTCAGGAATTTTAAATATGCATGAGGCAGAGTTTCTCAATCATTTGGGACCGTGTTTCTTATCCGTGGGCAGAGTCACTCCAGCAGGCTTTTCCAAAAATAAATGTCCAGGCTGATCCTCCGAATTTCTCATTCAGCAGAGGTATACTCATTAAGATTATTGAGGTTGCAAATAAAGAATCTAATTCTGGCTAACTGAAAAGCAAAGGGGAAGGGTTTCTAGAAGGATTTTAGTTTTCTTGCAGGACCAAAGACAGAACTGAGCGGCCAGGGCTTAGGAACAGCAGCACTGGGCACTGCGGGAAATGCAGTGGCAGGGGCCCAGGGGCCTCTGAGAGCTTCCGGGTATCTCACCTCCATCACCCTCCCCTGTTTGTGAATGTCCACATAAGTTTACATTTCCCACAAGGTGCTGCTGGGTGGGCGTGGCTGACAGAGGCATCCCCGCCTTGGGATCAGTCAGCTCTGGGGAGTGGCTTTCATTAAGCTGTGAAACCCTGGGCAAATGGCTTGACTTCTTTATGCTTCAGTTTCCTCCCCTGTGCAATGCAGACGATCACAGAGCCTGTTGCTGGAGGAAGTGTTGTGAGGGCGTCTGCATTTCCAGTTGGTGTCTACCACCGTCTGGATCTAGAACACGTGTAATTTGGAAGTAGGATTGGGTGTTTTAATCATCGGATTTACTGAGCGCTTACAGTGGGCCAAGCACTATACGAAGACTTTTACTCGCATTATCCCATTTAATCCTCAAAAGACACCTTATAAGGCAGAGACCTCCAGCGTCTGATACCTTGCCTGGAACGGGGCAAGTGCTCCCAAAATGTTGAATGAATGAATGGGGATGCCACCGCCAAGCACTTCAGCCAAGATTGCAGGAGGCAATCTCCACAGGCGGAGGCCCCCCACTCTCAGAGCAGTGTTCCATTGGAGACCCCAGCACCTGCTGGACGGAGGAGTGGAGCTCGCTCCTCTCGTGGGACCACCGTTCCAGTTGGTGACCCCTCTTTCTAACACTTGTCCCTATTTTTCAAGAATGTATTCCTTACGTATGCAAGTACAGGACTGCCCTTTTTTTTTTTTTATTTCTTACAGAGTTTTCATGTGTGGCACAGGCTCCAAAAGCAGGCAGATCTGGCCATGATTCTTTATACCTCCTCTCCTTTCCCAAAGTGGGACTTTCCGAAAATTATTATCTTTTTCTGAGCCTCGGTTTTGCAATCTGTGAAAGGGGGTGAAAGACAATAAATAACTCAGCACTTGTAGCATAGGATGTGTGTGTGTGGAAAAAGCACAATCTTTGACACACAGTAGGGGTTCAATCAGTGTTAGCGAAAATAGCATTTAATGATCATTTTTATTGATGATACTGTAGCTGGTGAAGGAAATTGATGAAAGTAAACTAATCCCAATGCAGTAACTGACTTTTAAAGTCTATCTGTGTCCTTGAGATTGTCCCTTTCTTCTCACCTATAGAACATGGATTTGGAACCAGA